CCAGCCAGCCCAGTGTAAGTAGAATTTCGGAAGTATTTGGGAAATGAATGACTTTGATAACGCAGCTCGCACACCATTTTTTGTGCCTTTTTTTGATTCTAGCTGAGTTCCCCAGATGCAAAGCAGGCCAGAGTAGTCATTGATATTCCATGTGTGCAATAAGGAGCTCTCACTAAGTGGATCTCAGAAAACTCACATGTTGATGATCTGCCACATCTGAGCGGAAGTTCATCCAGCTCTAGAAAGGTTGCTGGGAATTCGTTTTGTTTTTTAAACTTGAGGACAGTTTTATTGGGGTTTGAAAGAAAGCTGCCAGGCAAGTTGTAAATCGCAGCAAACAGCAAGGGGAAAGAAACAGAAAAGGGCATGCCGCTTGAGTTAAGGTGACTGTCCTCAGCCATATAATGGCCAGAAGTGGGCTTAGAAAGTCCATAATACCCGGAGCCGAGCGGTGGTGGCACACGCCTTTAATCCCAGCACTTAGAGGCAGAGGCAGGCGGATCTCTGTGAGTTTGAGGCCAGCCTGGTCTACAAGAGCTAGTTCCAGGACAGCTAGGGCTGTTAACACAGAGAAACCCTGTCTCAAAAAAAACAAAACAAATGTTCATAATACCAGAAAGACATGCTTGGATCTAACCGGTATCTGAAAGAAAAAGGATTAGACAGTCTTGAGCCCAGCCCAGAGCCTCTACAAGAGCAGAGTTACTCTTAACCTCTCCCTCTCCCGAGATTTTTTTTTTTTTCAAAAAAAGAATTCATCCTCCCTAGAATAGAAGGAAAGAAGGCTGGCGGCTAAGTCGGAGCTCCAGAGAGGTAACCCTGAACCAGTTCTTAGCCCTGGTCCTGTCTGGATAGGTGACTGCAACCCAGAACAGGAGGCAGGAGGTAGCAGCTCTTGTGCCTGTCTTTGCTTTTAAACTGTACTTAGTAAGATGTAGCTTAGAACCTGAGCCTTTTCCTCCCCCTTTAAAAGTAAGAACTCAAAGAAGAAAGTATTGTATTTTTGGTAATATTGAGAGTAGTACTTTTGCTTCAAGACAGATTGTAAAATGCATAATGTGACCTGCAGCAAATGTCTAGAGCTAGTCTTGTATTTGTAGGATAGATTGTAGCAGACAGAGTAGTCCTGACTCCTACAAAACCCTATAAGCATTTCACAGGATTTTGATGTTTCTAGGAGCAGTCAAGGAATTGTTGCCTCAGAAGCCTGCCTTAGATGGTCTCCCCTTGTTACATAAACTGCCCTGGCCTAGAGCCCTGTCTACTCTAGAACTGTCGATCCTCCTACTGTATCAGATTCTTCAGAAGCTAAGACTTCATGTGCCTTAGACACCTCTACCCCTGGACCAATAAGGGCCAGTGTAGACTACAGAGCAAGAGCTTCATGTCATTGACAAAAATAGCGTCTCCTTTTCCTAGTGTTGGATCCAGTGACTTGTCCCTTTTCTGCCATGGTAGCTAGAGCTGAGCAGATCCTAGGGACTCGTTCTCTCTCTCACATTCACACCCAGAAGATGGAACATGTCCCTTCCTCTCTTCTCTTAGTTTCCTTGTCCATTAATGGAGACCTCAAATGAGATGGCCTCAAGTTTCTTCTTTGTGCACAGTAGTTGAGATGGGAGGAACTTGGACTGTACTTTGCAAGTAGCATTGGGAGTAACCGATAGGAAGGAGATGAGGTCATCAAGAGACCCACCTGATCTCACAGCCAGTGCATGCTCCCTTCCAGCCCTTCAGTCATGAAGGGCCAAGAAGGACCAGTTGGGAAAGGCTGTTGCCATCATGCTTGATAGCCTGAATTTATTCTCTCGGATCTACATGATGGAAAGAAGGATTCATGCAGGTTGTCCTTTGGCCTCCATATATGCACTATGATACGTTCGTGTGTGTACATGTGTGCATGTATATACAAACACACTGTTCAGTCTTTAATTTGGGAGCTATTTGAAAAGGTTGCCCAAAGGCACTAATTTGCATGGGCAGCTATGACAAGATAACCACAGAATGGATGGTTTAAACAACAGACATTTAGAGGGTTCCAGATGGAAGTGGCCTTTCTCTTCTGTGTGTGCCTGTGACCTTTCTCATACCAACAACCCTATGGTATTAGGACTGGGCCCCACCCTTTTGACCTATTTTAAGCTTAGTGACTTCCTCAAAGACAAATTTCTAAGTCTAGTCACATTGAGGTTTAGAACTTGAATACGGGAATTTGGAGGTGGATGTTGTTCAACTGTAGGCACCTGGGAATGCAAGTCTATTTTTACTTTTTAAATTCTCAAAACCTTATGATCTAAAGAGAGGGATTTGTAGTTCAGGGTCCTGGTTCTGGAGGAGACAGTCATTTCTGGCTCCTAGCTCAGCAACTTAGCCATCCATGTAGCCTTGGGCTCAGTCCTTTGCTTCCCTCTGAGATCAGCACCATCAGCCCTGAGATGCCACTACCCTATGATAAAGGTTATTCCAGGTGACCTTGGCTCTGCCTGTCCAACTCCCTGTGATCCTCATCTTCAAATGTTTTCTTCCCAGCTTCTTGAGGGAAGGCTAACTATGAGTGATTAGAACCACTTCTGTCTGGAGGCTGAGGGCAGCCCCCTCCACTGCTGTGTGTCATACTTCCTGCTTGCTTGTGACTCTCAAGACAGCTACTGCCTCCTGCTGCACACTTCTCTCTCTGAGCATGTATCAAATTTCTCTTTGGGAGAGGTAGCAGGGAGACAGGATCTCCTTGTTACATAAGCTGGCCTAGCCTAGAACCCTGACTAGTCTAGAGCTCTCAATCCTACAACAGCCTACTGAACACTGGGATTTCAGGTTTGCTGTGGCTCTATATACTTTCTCTTGAAATAATTGCAAAATCACAGTAGTATTGAGGATAGGACAAAGAACATTTTTTCTCTATTTTGTTTTACCATTCAGTCTTTCCCTTATCTCCATCCCCAACCCCCAAACTGAACTATTTTACACCACATTCCGCTTTACCCTCACCATGGTTTGTGCTTTGTCCATAGGATAGTTACCAAGTTCAGAAATATGTAGTGTCTGGGCAGTATAATAGTTGCTTATTTGTAGTTCAGACTTCAGGCTTCTAGCTGTCTAGTAATGCTATTTCAGGCATTTTTTTTTTCCTGGTTCAGGATCTAATCTGGCATCAGGTAGTGGACAGCCTTTGTTCTGTAACAGGAACAGGCCCCCATCCTTTGTCTTTCATGGCATGGATATTTTGGAAGGATACAGTCTAGTTAGTGGTTTAAGATTGGCATTCATGTTGGTTCCTTGAAGTATGTGTTTTCTGAACTTACAGCCTAGGACTGAAGGCCAGAAGAACAGAACATGAGACAGCAAAGCCACGCCCCTAACCTCGGGGCCTGAGGCTCTGGTTTGTGGGGGAAGCATTAGTATCAGACGGGCTGGGTGGGCCCCTCTGCAAGTTGTAGTTACCGGCCTTGACAATCTTGGGTGGGTGCTGGAGGTGTTGGCCCTCTAGAGTCTGCAGAGATGGCAGAAAATGCACCCACTCCCTGTGAAGCTCTCAGCCATCTGCATTGCCCAGCTTCCCGAGGTGCCTGGGATGGGCACTGAAACAGTCTTGCTGCTTGCAGAGTTCCCAAGTGAGCTGCCATCCCAGGCTTTCCTACCCTACCAAGGGTGTGATTTGTGATGCTGGGCCAGGCCTGGGAGAATCCTTGAGTGGTTCTACCATACGCCCTTGGATTTGGGAGGAGGTGGGCATAGAGGAGTGATGGGTAGATGGGCTGGCTACGGGTGCCACTGCAGCTTGTGACAGGTCTGTCCAACAGCCTGAGGGTGCTCTGCACCATGCTGTGGCAGTAAGTCATCAGACCTGGAACTCTGCTTTTCTAGCTGCTAATAATCTCTGCCAGGCGGTGTACAGAGGGAAATGGTGAATTGTAACCTTTATTCCAGTCATTGTGTAAGAGCTAGTCAAGTGTCAGACCAAGCTGATGGTGTGGAAGTGTTCAGAGTGTCATTGAATCTTCACAGAACTTTGGCTAAGTAAGTTTTCCATGTGAAAAACAATAAAATTGATTTTTATGTAGTCATTAAGGTCACTTGATTGTCTACTTTATGTTCACACAGTAACACTTCAGGATGTTCTCTTACATGCATGTAAGAATGAGAGGTTTAATGCCTAGTCTTTCTGAATTAAGACTGAGCAGTCTAAATTTCAGTTCTCTCCATGCACTGGTATCATTTTAACATGTCAGTCCCTTGTGCCTGGTAGCTGTACTTGGACAGCAGGGTGCAGAGCAGCCCGTCTTTGCAGAGAGGTCTTACTACATGGCCTAGACTGGCCTCAACTCAGTTTTCCTGTCCTATACTCCTCATTGCTGGGATTGCTGTCTGAGGTTCTGCTGGACTGCTGAGTGGATTTCTTTCCCTCACTGCTGTCTGGGCAAATTTAACCATTAAGGAAGTTGGTCTTTAGATATGACTACCCCTGTTGCTAGTAAAGTCTCCACAACCTGGGCTGGGTCAGAACTGTACTGTAAGGCTGAACTGAAGCAATGACTTTAGCTAAACATTGGATCTTCATGCTTACCTGACCCTCCACAGCCCCAGGCCCTGAGTACAGGAGCAAATATAAAAGCCCAGTTTCTGACTTTTTTTTTTTTTTTTTTGGTGGCACTTTCTGTGGGAGGGGACCCAAGACTGAGTTGGGAGCTGAATCCGTGTGTCTAGCTGGGGAGCATTTTAGATTGGATGGGCTGGAATTCACCTACCTGGATGACTGTTGGCTCTTCTATCTGCCACAGGGCTACCACCAGCCAAACTTGCTCACTCATGTATGAGATGGTGTGTGTCTAATAAGTAACGGAGCTGAGCTGACAATTGTCTAAGTTCCAGGACCCGTCCATAGCTATGGGGGAAGCCACATGCCTGCCTTGTATAAGCCAGGGTGGCTATGTCTACTTGAAAGTACCTATGGTCCTATGGGCCCCCTTCTCTGTATATGCCTCTGTCCCCGCCTCCTGGCCTCTGGTAGAGGAGGGGAAGCTGAGTGCCTTCTAAGGTCCTTCTGTGTTACCTGCTCGGCTCACACAGCTGCATCTGCTCCAGCTATGAAGTGGCTCTTCCACACCCTTCTCTGCATGGCCAGTAAGTCGCCCTTCCCTTACCCCCTGCCTTCAGATGCTCTCAGCTCTGCCGGGACTTTAGGGTTAGAGGTCAGAGAAATGGGGCACTTCTCCAAGAAGTGCCCTTGCTCAGACTTATTTGTAGGCTTGCTGGTAAGGAACTCTTCAGTGTTGATGGCCCCTGGCCTCAGACTGTAGGGTTCTGCCACTCTCTTCCCATCTCCATTCAGCCTCCCCTCACTGCTACATCCTCAGATCTGAGCTCAGTTGGTGCCCAGAGTGTGGTGACACCCCATGACACCCCGAAGAGGACCCCTAGCTAATAGAGCAACCTCAGCCGCTGCGAGTGGGGAGCACTTATGAGAATGTAGATGTTAGTAGGAGTCTGGGGGCGAGAATCTACAAAGTCAGTATGGGGGAAACCTGTTTCCTTTTCTGTGCTGTGGAAGAGGGCAAGGTATTTTTGTTGCCAGGGGTTCCATTCTGTCTTTAACCCTGTGAGGGAGCTGCTTTTGGATAAACTGCCCTGAGCACACCTATATGGTCCCAAAGATAAGCTAGCATAGTCAGGTGAGCTCCAGGGATTGCTCAGATGGGGCTCTATTCATGGTGTTCTTGCCCAGTGATCTGGGTCTTATTTGCTCAAATTTGACAGGAGAATAAGGTGGACATCAGACACAGTAATATAAAGGCTTCTGGAAGCTGTGTCTGTGAAAGGCAGTTCATGCCGATCAGTGGAGGTGTGAAGAAGCTGAGCCATCATAGGAGGATGCAGGTGGGCACCCACCATGAGACAGGCACCCAGGAGGCAGGCTAGGCCCTGCCCAGATCACTGGTGCAACATGTTTAGGAGCAAATTTCGATGTTTAAAAAATATCTGAGGGGCTCAGAAGGTGAAGGCTTTTTTTCTTTTTTTTCCAAGCCTGATGACCTGAATTCTACCCTGGAGACCCAGATGGTAAAAGAGAAAATTGACTTGTCTTCTGACCTCTGAATGGTGCCATGTACACACACACACACGTGTGTGGGGGCACATATATACAAGTTTTCTTTAAGTACCTGAGTAATCACCATGGAAAGAGGAAAGTTGGTTGAACTTTTTATTGGTTTGCATCCTAGACTTGTCTTTAGTTTTGTTACCTGCAGAGTGTGAAGTGGGGTCTCACTTTTTTTTTTAATCATCAAGGCTAAGATTAGACTAACTCACTCCAGTATAGAGACGACTAAGGCCTATAGACAGACAGACTGAAAGGGTTGCAACCAAGGAACAGTAGAGATCTCCAGGTCTTTGGGCTCCTGCCCACCTTTTTTCCCTACAGTTCCTCAGCAATGTCATCACCTCGCACCTCCTCTACTGCCATTCTTCAAACCCCCAAGGCCCTGGTACTTCTTCCCAAGTTGAAATGCAACAAAGAGCAAGATGGAGTCAGGTGGTGGTGGTGGCACATGCCTTAACCCCCACACACACTCTGGAGGCAGAGCCAAGCTGATCTCTGAGTTCCCAGAGAGCCTAGTCTACATAGTGAGTTCCAGGACAGCTAGGGTTACATAGAGGCACAGAAAGATCCTGTCTCAAAAAAAGGAAAAAGAAAAGACAAAACACCAAGATGGGCAGATTGTCCCTCAGGCCCTGTAACCTGTGATTGGCTATGCCGTGTGTGGGGTGAGAGCTTGGCCTTAGTATTTGGCGGAAGAAATGACATGGTTCTGCTCTGCTCTGTAGTGTGATGTCCTGAGGTGTGGTGGTAGGCCAGGCCTCAAGAATTTCCTGGAAAGGTTTCAGAGGCTGAGTCCTCAGGACTTTGGAGGTCAGAAGCAGGCAAAGTGGTACCGAGGAGGACCAGAATACAGACTGAGTACAGCCTGGGCTCTCAAGCCCCTGCCTGGCTGGCTTCACTGGTTTGGGGTCAATTCACAACTGTGACTCGGTGGCTCTACCCTTCTGCCCTTCCAAGCCGCCCACTGTAGTAATGACATTTTCCTGTCACTCATAGGAGCAAATGAACTAATGGCTGTCTGAGGAAGGTTCAGAGAGAAAACAGGTGCAGTCACACAGATCTACAGCAGCCCAAACTCCAGCATCCAGCCCTGACTCATTCTGTGGCCACAGGAACTCACTTCCTCCTTAGCTCAGCGGTTGAGTTTACGTCTCATGTGTAAAGGGAACTTTACTATGGATCTGTGAAACCTCATGGGTTAAGAGTAAGGAACCAGAATCCAGGGCCTACTCTACTCTACCAATCCAGGCTGAGGCCTTTGGTGGCCCCACTGGGTAAGCTAGGAGGTGGCTGGCCCGGATCCTCCCAGGCCTAGCCTACACCTGTGTGCAGATGTGAACGAGCATCTTGGCCCTCAGGAACAGGAATCCTGGTACTTGAGATATGCCTAGGAGAATGGGAAGGTCTCAGCAAATAGACTGACCAGGAGGAAGGGTTTTCAGAAGCAGCAAGGCCTGGGTACATGAAGAAAATGGAAAATTAGAAGCTTGGAAACAGAAAGCTGTTTACTCTGATGTTGCCTCCCCATCCCAGGTCAGGACCTGTTGGGCCCCTGTGTGGTGAGAAAGCAGACTGTACCCACACTAACTTCCCTAGCCTGGGGCATGGTCTGTGGGAAGAGCCACAGGACTCCATGGAGCCAGGAAACAGCATTCAGGCAGAAAGGATGGCCTAAGCATAGGTGGACAAGCCAGATGAAACCTCCCATCTCTGACCTCTGGAAAACTAGCTTGTGTTTATGAAGTGTGTATGGCATGGATAGGGAGTGTATAGGATGTGAGTAGTGCATATAGGGTTCTTGTGGTCTGTACTATTATGAACTATATGAAGTATATAGGCTATGTGGTTTATAAGATGGCATGAATGAGGTATGTAGATTTTATATGCGAGTTACATAGGATATGTGAGCATTTAGTATACATGGGGTTTGTGGAGTATGCATTATGTGTGCATGATCCATGGAGTACATATGGGATATATGAGTACATGTGGCATATGAGTGGTATATACAGGTGTACATGGGGCTTATGGGGTCTGTATAATATATAGGTACACAATGGGGTGTGCATGCCATGTCCAGACATATGTAGAGTATATGGGATGTGTGGTGTGCACAGGTGTATGGATGTATAGGCGGTATGTGGAAGGCGTGGATGCTTGAGGGCTCCATGGTGCTGGAGTTGAGCAGTGTGGAGGACTCAGAGTGCCAGGCTGAGGGACTTCACCATGAGGACACTGGGAGCCATGGATGGTCCTGAGCATGGTGGGAAATCACACTTGTGTAGAAGTTGGAGTCAGGGCATAAGAAGGAACAGCAGAGAGGCTGGTGAGGGGGCTGCAGCAGTGGTCCAGTCCATGCGTGCTGAGGAGGGCAGGCATGCAGAGCTGCTTGGAGGGATGTTCAAAGGAAACACTGGGAAATTCACGTGTGCTTAGCACAGTGCTGTCCCTTGCATTCAGGAATCCCCTGAGACCTGTGGCCATTTTTGTTATCAGATAAACTAGAGGTGTGAAGGGAGAGGCTCTTCGGGTGCCTGTGAGGTTTGGGGTTGAGATGGTGAGCCTGTCAGAAAGATGAGGGGATGTGGTCCATGAGCTGCTCTTGCCAGACAGGTGTTCTGTGGATGCTTGTGATCTGAGCTGGGCATGGCCCTCCCCCGGGGCTTTTCTGGGCCTCTGGACCAGGGATCTGGATGCTAAATCTAATCTCATCTCTATAGCTAGTTCCTTATATAAATTTGGGCCTCATTTACTGGGAACAGTGATGACCACTGTTCTGTGAGAAGACATCAGAAACGACCAGTGCAACAGAAGAGGTCGTGGTGGTCGCCAGGGTGAGGAGATCTTTAACTCAGAGGCCCATGTGACTGGAGACAGTTTAGGGAGCAGCCCTGTGGGTAGAGTGGCGCGACAGACACACGACAGACACATGGGCTCTCATGTCAGACAGCATGACAGGTTTGAAGGAAGAGGGTGGGCGGTGAGGTTATGAGAGAAACCACAGCCCTCTACCCGTGGTCAAAGAGCTTTTAACACCAGCATCCACACATCAGACCCCCGCTAACAGATCCTGAGCTAGCACAACCATGTCCCAATGTGAAAACCAAAGCAGTGGGACAAGCCAAGGTCCTTCAGTGACTCCATGGCATAGCAAAGATTTGAACTCAAGACTCTGCCCTTGGGGCTCATGCTGTTCTCTGAGTCTCCGTGGGAAGTATGAAGTAGTGGATACATGGAAGCCCAAACAAAAGTGCAATATAAAACTCCACAGCAGACTCCAGGCACCACCACACTCGTGCGCGCGCGCGCGCACACACACACATACACACACACACATACACACACCCATGCACTCACACACCTATGCATGTACACAACCATGCTTGCACGCACAGCTCTTGTATACCTGCTACACAATCAGCTCTCAATGACCTAGTTACCTGCCCTAAAGCAGGGCTCTGCCCTTGTCCAGTGAGCCATTACAATAACAGGAGCCGAGTCCAGCAAGCTACCTCCCAGCTCCTCCCAGCTGTTTGTCGCCCCACTCTGCTTACCCCTCAGTGCTTCTAACTTTTGGTAAGGGCCTTAAAATCAAGAAACCTGGGCCTTAAAAAACAAAACAAAAACCTGGGATTCAGGCACAAATGACCAATTTACTGAGTCCAAGAGCAATTTGTTAGTCTCATCCTGTAGCACAGTACCTGGAAGACAGCAAGGGACCTGGGAAACGGCTATTACGTTTCCTCTGTACTTTTCCTTCCCTTTCCCACCCATCGAGGGGTCTAGCCAGCCCCTCAGTTAAATGGAGCAAACATGGGGTTGGGAGGGGGTGAGAAAGAGGGCCATCAGGCCTATTATGGTATTTTTCAGGGTGTCTCTTGTGAACCTGGCCCTGAGCTGGGCCGGGTTTTGTGGTTTGGGGGTGTCATGATGACTCAGATCACAGGTTGGGGGAGGCAGATTTAATCACCCCTTAGTTTATCAAGATGGGGTTTAGTCAGAACCAACAAATAACACAGGATGC